ACAAATAGGCTTTGAAACAAATGAATTTGATTTAAAAAGTGGTGGATCCGCTTTTCTTCGAGAAAGATTGAAATCTTGGCCAAGCAATATGGCACGCTCCATCTATTGAGTCATTTATCTTATAATAGCGGTTAAAGATTGGGAATTTATCTTGAAAAGTCTTAGCCAAAAAGTTTAAAAATAGTTGATAGAAATTTCAAAACAGGATGAAATAACAAATTTAAAATAAATCAAGTCTATGATTATATTTTATACTGATATATATCGCTGATATCGCTGACAAATATATGGGATTGATGAATATCTGATTAGAGATTAGTTATCCTAGAAATCCTGAGAATTGTATTAGTTGTAACTTAGTTCTGATGAATGACTCAGGGAACTATTACATCTGTGACTGAATATTGTGACGATAGAATGATCAAAGAAATTAAGTTGCGTAATTCCTGTAGAGAAGAGACTTAATCTACCGTCATGCAATTTTATAAAATTTAGGTGTCAATTTCATGGTGTAATAATTGCGAAATGAATTTTAAAAGTGATTATTTATGAAAATTGAAAATAAAAATAAAAATTACATATGAATCTTTCCGTGTCTTTATCGAGAAAGTTTAATCAGTAATGTCAAATGCGATCATCTGCCTGCAGTGAAGCTCAGTATCGAATTCAATTAGTTCAGTTTGCCAATCTGAAATTTGGTTCTGGCAATAAACCAACAGCTGTCACTACGACTCACTTATAAATTGAGGACTAACGGAAATAACAGCCGCGTTGATAACCTTAATTTCGTTTTCAATATGGAATAGAAATAGCGTAAAAGAAGTTCAGTTAATTTAAAATCTGCTTGCTTGTGGAGATAAGCCGGAGTATGGCTGTCCACAACCACATCAAGTAATAATGATCAGGCATGCAACATGCAAGTATGATAAAATTCATAATAAGCCAATGAAAAGGATATAGGTCATACTTTGTTCAATGAATATTTACTAACGAATGAATATTTACAACGAATATTTACTGCAAGATTACAAAAACCTGTTCGGTTTGTTTATTAATTTACTTTGTTGATGCGACTTGCACATGCAGTAAGCGAGATGGAAGCAGGCATGCACTCATGCAACCTTTCTTTCTTAGTTGAGTTGAAGCTTAGTTTTGTGGTTACTTCCATTCCCTTAGTGAATTATGCTAGAGAAAAAAAAAAAGGCTTCTTAAACGAAAGTAACAAATGATACAAATAGTCCATTAATTAAATGACCTGACTTATGGGTAACTCTCAACATTTTGCGTAGAAAGTTAGTTATCAATCTAAACTCATTAATAATCCCTTTCCACCTTCACCTTTATTAGTGACCAGCTTTTTCTCGCATAATATAACAAAGCCAACGAGCATTTGGAATAGATCCATAGTAAAGTATGAAGTAGAAGGAAATCAAAATATAGCAAAGTTTCTAAATGATCCAGCTAATTGATTTTCAATCTAGGCTTTATTGGTTATTTCCAGTTTTTGTATGCTTCGTTTAAAGATCACTGGTAAAGAGGACAGGGGACAAGTAGAATATAAAGGGTAATGAGCGGTAAATGTGCTTCTCGAGAAGTACTGTAAAGTGCAGCAACATAAGTGTACAGTCAATATTGTTCCATGGTAAATGTCTGAGAGGTATTTACCAAGTTTGGGTAAGTGACATTCGAACTGTTATCATCACTCTTGCATTAACATTATAACTGTTATCGCTTAACTCAATATATTTGCTGGGAAAATTTCATTGCAGAATTCTTTTAAATAAAAAAAAAGAGAAATATCACGAAATAAATTAAGGACATTATACTATTTGGGAAAAAATTAAGGAACTAAGAACCGGTTAAAGATACTAAAAATTTTAGACTTTGAATTATTTCCAATATAAATTTCTGAAAAATCAATATTTTGACAGAAAAACAGTGAAGCTAACTTCGAAACTGAATGGAAGAATCGAATATTGAAAATTGTTTAAATTTCAAAGCACTTTATGTCTGAATTGCTATGACATGAAATCAAATAGTGGCAAAGAGACTTGCTGTAAAAAGGACACATTCAAATATTGCAATGACAGTTAGTTTGTTAGACGTAGCAAATTTTACTACTATTCAGTAGTAAACTTCAGTTGTAAACTTCTTTATTTACTTGAGGAGAAAATAATTACTCATCATTAAGTACTTCGTTTCGAATTTGAAATTTGTCACCCTTTCGAATTCTTCAGAGCTAAAATATTAGAAAAGACGTTTCCGTAACGAATATCGACGCATATTTAATAGAAATGCTTTCTGTAATGTTTGAAGAGAGAAATTTAAATTATAGATTTCAATCCAAGTTTTTAGCTTTTTAAATGCATAATTTATGTGTTTTTTATGTACTATTCAATGAAATTTTTGTTTGAGTCAAAATTTATGGAAAATTAGCTTCTAAAATGAAGGACACTACAGAATGAAAAAGAGAGGACAGGTAGATGATTGGTCGTTTAGAACAGAAAACACCAAATTTGATCAATAAAATCACATATTGCCAATTTTTTCCCTATCGCTCCCATGTATCCATATGTTAAATTTTGTTCCCATTACTACTGTAGTGTTTGTAGGACTGAACGATGTTGGCGAGAGTGAATTCTATCTGTGAAATCGAGATTTATTACTCAGCCCAAGAATTTGCCAAATTGAATGGATCCAAAATTTTTTCTTTTTTTTCTTCTTCCTATACATCTCAAGTGTACAAACAATAATGCTGAAAATAATAAGGAAGTTTGATAAAGTTCATTGAATCAAAGTAATACATCACTTCGCAGCAAATGTTTTACATTTGTGATGGTATCGTCAAATGATCATTTTCGAAACTGTGTAGAATGTCCAGGAGAAATGTTATCAGTTGAGCAATTGATTGGATTTCAAATTACAATGAGTTAACCATTAAAGTGCTAAATTCATTTGGTTTGAGGACCATCTGTTGAAGACTTCTTTTTACGTCAAACTGTTAAACTCATTACCGCTCATTGACGCTTTAAACACAGTAAAAAAAAAAAAAAAAATTGTACAACGAGAATAAATTGATGCTCAGAAATATCGAGAATTCAACGCACGTAGTGGTTGACGCAAAAAGACAAAAAGAACTTTTTAAGCCATACAACAAAAGTTACTTTGTTAGGTTTGCAGGTGTCACCTGCTGAACCATCCTTGCAGGCTCCTGTAAGCAAAGATGTAGTTAAGGTTAATGTAATGTTAAAATTCTGCAGCTTTTTCAAATTACAATAATGCTTGTGTTCAGATAAATGTTAATTTGTACAATCGTCCCAAAACTAAGTATTTCAAACTGTCAGCAAAAAAAAAAAATTTGGCTTGGCCAGAAATTTGTTGTGGCTAGAAAAAAAGTAAACAAAAAGCATCAGTTGTAGCATTAGAAAGCGTTGTTTTAAAAGCAAAAGAATGAGATGAAGCATAAGGGTTTGTTCGTACCTTTGTTTATGAACACTTCAATCTTAGCATCTCTTCTCGACAAACAGCTGTTGTAAGTATGTGAAGCATTCATTCCTTTTCATCCCACTTCAGCGCTTAGCTCAATTCTTCTATTCCACTCTCCAAATGGACAAGTAATCGACTGAAGAGCTATTGCTGAAATCTTTTTCTAAACGGATAAGGACCAATTGTGGAATAATCTGCAAACATCTCATAAAAAAGCAATTTAACGAGCAGATAAAACGGGAAGTCAATCTAAAGTGCAATTTTTTCCCTCTTCTTGAAGAGTGGTAATTGGTACATTAAAAGATGGGACCAACTTCTTGGCGGCGATATCGACCACAAATTCCACGATTAAAATTAAAATAATCGATTTCTGTGGAAGATAAAATTTCTGATGCAAATGGAATTTACTTCTGTGGATGGACTTGGAAATTCATAATATTCAAATTTCGACATTAAATCTCATTTAACACTTTGTTTTCTTATGGGTGTGTAAAAGGAAATACTTAAGGAATGGAATATGAAAGGGAAACATTCTCAACCATTTCATTCATTTTCCTTTATCATGAAAAAAGAACAAGAAATCAGTGCAACTATAAAGAGAAAATGTGTTGAAGAGAGAAAGACTAAAAGATAAAATGGAAGTAGAGAAGTTTGCTAATGACTTCTATATGTGCTACTTTCTGGTAAAACAAGCAAAGTATAGCTTGAAGAAAGCAAATTTTGCACAAAAAACGGATAGATTGCAAAGGTATTCAAACAGAGATGAATGTCACCTTATCTGTCATATGAGAAGTGTGCAACGTATGTGATTACACATGTTTACAATAATGGATTACTCTTTGATGTTACATCTCCATATGGCTATGGCTTTCCGACATTTTGGTCAACTAAGTATTGAATGAATTAAGGATGATATTTAAGCTTGGCTGCTTTATTCAGTTCATTCAGTTTTTCATCGAATAGTCATTCGATGAAAAAAGCGAAAAAAATTTCAAAAGTAAATTTGTGTTGCTTTTCTTCATTCAGAATGTGTGAAAGAAGAGATAGGAGCCATATGATAAGGTAAGGAATGTTTGAGGACCATCCGCTGAGGAAGTTTCTCCTTCCATCCTAATGAAAATGCCAAAGTAAAAAGCAACATGAAATAAAACGTTACATCTGTTCCTGGTACTGCTGTTACAACTATGCTATGAAATACATTTAAAATCAAAAAATGAAGCGAATCAATTCGATGGTCAACAAGTGGTCATACTGCTGCTTACATATGCCATGCGGAATGTACAATGTCAAGCATGTGTTGACATTGCTAGCACAGATAGATCATTGACTAACGATTACCACCCATTTTGGTCATCGTCTGACAAGATGTCGACAATTGAAAATACAAGATACCAAATAAGTGAAAGTGTTAAAGATACTTATTATAATTTGAGCTCACTAAGTAATCTTTTAAGAAATCAAATTGTTGAGTAAAACTTGGTTACGGACAGAATGAACAAGCAAAAATAGAATAATTTTTGCGAGGAAATCTCAAAGATAACTTGAAAACATTCTGGATGTAAGATTTACTTCTTAATCGGAATGGTATTCAATTGATAAGCAGAGTATACTAAGTTTCACGATAGTAATGTTTAATTATGAATCGGACGATACTGTCTGATAACATAATCATAAAATCATAAATAAATTCCTAACTTATCAGTTTATAACGATAACAGCCTTCATAAGCTATCATTCTATTTTAATTTAATCGAAGAATTTACTAATTTACTATAAATGTTGCTATTTGTTATTGACTGTTATCCGTATGTAATCATAAATTTTAGTATCAAGAGATTTCAAAGTGATAATTTCCCAAAACTTGTATTGAGATCAAATTTAATTCTAAAAATTGTGCCAGAAAGTTGCTAATTCAGGATGGCAGGAAAATCTTGACAAGGTAAAGCCACTAAACATATCTACTAACAGCATTTTAGGAGAAACATTCATAATTTTAATTAGAAATAAATTAATTACATATTTATAATCTGCAAAAAAGTAAGCATCAGGAGCATTTATTATATAAGTAGCATTCACTTTCAGCTTTGAATAATAGCCAAGCACGATGCAATAAGCCAACAGAACCGACGAAGACAGGCCTTGGATCCTGCGCAATTAACAAATATAGTAAATGAGGAAACAAAATTAAATTATTTCTATAAAATTTTAGTTATACTTCGTATGTGTATGTATGTGAAAGAAATAATAACAAGATTTGTTGGAAGATAGAGAAGAAAGAGAGATGTAGGATGAACTTATAAGCTCCTCAAAATAAGTCAAACGAGTTCCTGGCCCAAAAATTTGTTGATTTTATAGGCCTAAGCATGTAGCAGTTATTATGTCGTGATTTCGATTTTTTTTAGCTTAAAATTTCGAAAATTTCCCCCGATATATAGCAATCATTTTATTATCATTTTCTCTTGACTTGCATGCCAGGGAAATTTGTTCCTCTTGATTTTGTAAAGTTATCTTACCTAACTTGAAAATATTTTTTTCGGATTTTGTGACATCATCAAGAGCTGACATAACTATTAGAACCAAGCTAACCATTCATTTCCTTTCCCCTTTGTAATGATCATCCGATTATAATCAGTCCTCTCATCCTTTGAACTCGCCACAAATTTGATATATTAAAAATAGCTTACAGTGAAGAAATAAAGTAAAATAAATTACAAATGAAATCGGAAATTTGATGAAGTTTGAATTTAGCCAGGAAAAAACTGAATATAATCGAATGCACAGTAATTCGTAAAAGGTCTGATACGATGAAAATGGATTGAGAATTATCCTTGTATGTGGGATGAGGTGTTCCTTATCTAAAGTAATATAGATATTTTAGTTGAAATGTTGTGTAAACATAAATTCATATTCAAAATACGTGGTAGTAAAAGAATTAAGCTCCAGTTAGATTTCCATCCCGGAAATACTGATCATTGGTTTCATAATAATAGTGAATATGATCCCTATGTCACCTGTGATAAAAATCATTTCGTGAAGTAAAAATAATGAAGCAAGAAAGAAACAAAAATAAGACCACTATAAGATGCATAATTTGATTGAGTGAATAATTATTTAAGGAAGAGTAGAATTCGAATTTATGATAAGCTTACTTTTCCTATTTTCATCCTGTCATCCTCAGTGTTTCTTTTTCACCATCAAATCATTCCTTGTAAATCTAATCGAGTTTAAAATTATTTGAAAATGCCAGACGAAAATTTCTGCTCATTAAAGGTGCGTTTGTTATGCGTGTCATATACGCAAAGCGTATTTGTCTTTATCTTCATGTCGAGTTTCATATCATGTCTATTTAATCAGGAAGAATTGGCATAAGACTTGATTCATTGTTATTTTAGCATCAACTTGATCGTCTTTATGTGAAAAAGCAGATGAAGTACAAAATTTAAGATGTGATTTAATTACATTTTGGAAAAAGGCTTATGACAATTATAGGGGTCAGACGGGTAAGGAATGCGAGTATTTTGAAAAGCTTATCTGTCGCTGTATCACTTTTTAAATGATTTCTCCTTTTGATCCTTTTTATTCTAAAACCTTTTTCTCCCGACAATATTGCCAAAAAAAAAGGTTTTAGAACAAGATGGATCAAATTATAACCATTTGTTACAGAATCTCATATTCTATTTAATCCAAACAAGATGACGATACTTGTCGAGGAAAAAATTGAATGTGAAAAGAGAAAAAATAGTTTTATCAGTTGTTTTATAATCACTGCACCACAACTCATCCATTCTCCCGCAAATCCGAACTAAGTCATTTGGACATATTTTTAGGTTTAACTAATTTTTAAGACATCATTCCTTTTCCAATTTACTACTTGAAATCACTCTTCATTTTCCTCTTTTGCATTTCTCGATAGGGAATTAAAAAGAAGGAAGGTAAGTATGAGATGAGCTACATATTCAAATTCGTATAATTTTGTAGGCTTAAGAAGGAAAAAATAAAAGGAGAAGGAATCTCGGAATCTTTTTTGTCTTGAAAATCAAACATTTATAAAATTTAGTAACGAAAAAAGAAAATGCGGAATGGTTACTTTCTCATTTCTCTGCTATCTTCTCCCTTTTGACCACAGTACACTGAACTAATAATCCATCATGTCACAAAAGAAAAAAGGAAAAAGGAAAAATTAGAACTTTGCTAAGCAGAAATTGTTTGGTTGAAAATTTAAAACTAGAAAAAAAATAGAGATCCATAAATGGCAGCGGATAGAAGACATTTCCTTTCATCTTCGTGCTTTAATATGATGAAGTGGTTATAAAGAGAGGTGACCTTAGTCTGAAGGTGAGCATTTTTTAGCTCTCCAGCAAGGTCATCGTTTTTTAAGCCCGAGAAGGTAAAATGTGCTCCAGGAAATACTGCTTTCATGATAATCGTCCAGTTATAACATTATTAATTTCTTAAGCAGAAATTGTTGAAGCATAAGTATGAGTGCAAAGCTTATCTTTTTGTTTATATTATTTGTATTATTTCAAGAACCGCACCAATATAAATCTTGAAGTTAAAAAAATTTTCGGAATTAATTTTGTTGAGGAATGAAATTTTATGGAAGGAAATGTTGTTTGATATTCTATACGTTAAATCTATTGGAATGTAGCAATAAATACAATAATAATATCTCAAATTATATATCGTTCCTGGTTAATGATGTTAGATTTTGAGGCAATACCGATTAAAAGTTCAACATTTTTATTAAACTGCAACAAACTTTAACTTTAAAGGTTATTGCAATAAACAAGTTGGTAATAATGAAAAAAGAAGTCTTTTCGAAAGTGCAACAAAGTAACAAAAGTTTCCTTCAATACGGTACATGTTCATTTTATTAACGGGTTTCTTTATCGATTTACTTGAATGGAAAAATTTAATAAAAGTCCCTGGCATCTTATGTTATTTGTATGTTTCATGAGCCATCAAACATTTTGAAATTATTTTAAGTAATTTTTCTGTCCTGAAAGATCTGTAAAGTATAGGGCGAATCATGACAAACTTCCATTAAATCAATTTAAAATTCGTTCAATAAGATAAGTGGGAATAATATTGATTAATCACTTTTCATAAATAGTTAACAAATCAGTGGACTAATAAGGTGGTTGCTCTAAAGTACTATATATGTTATACTTAATAAATTTTAACACTACAAGTATTTAGTTTTCGTAGAAATTCTGTCTGACGAATTAACACTTTGCAAAAAGTGAACTGTAACAACCTTTATCAAGTGCTGATAAAAAATATGCCCAGCCAGAACTGCATTAAATTTTTGCCATATTTCAGTAAATGGTCATCAAAAAACGGCTAAGCACTGATATCTTGATACAATGAGCAGCAGCCAATTTCAACGGTTTTTGAAAAAGTTTCCGGATACTGAAGCAGAATAGGCTTGACGATTCAACATATCATATTTTGTCTGTTTACAAACAGTTGTGATCTTCAGTAAAATTAAACCAATCTTAGTATTTGTATAGTCATTTTTAAACTTATTCATCCTGTGGCTGATTAAAATTACTGCGAATAAAATTCTCTGGAAAAAATAATTCCCATTTTTTCAGGATAATTTCGCAAATTACAGGAATTGATCGATTTGAAATTCATTGCTTACGAAAATCAGTTTTCCGAGTCATTCATTTGAAATCATTTCTATAATAACAATGAATTATTTCATTTTATAAGTAGTTTTCATTATATTTTAGCATATTTCATAGACGAATAATAATTTGAAAGAATGATATTTGAAATCAAAAGAACAAAGAGTAATATTTATTTTCTTATGAGGAATAAATTCTATAAACTTCTTAAAAATTTTCAGCAAATCGACAGTTTAGCTAACTCTTCTATCTCTGTTAGTTAGGAAATAAAAATTTTCAATGATTTCGAGTACGAAAAACTATAACTCATTACTATGAAGAATGAAAACCATATCACAGCACTGATAAGATAGTAATGAGTCACGACACTATTTGCTTATAACGAAAAGGAAAAAAAATGGATACAACAAAGAATTACTCATTTCATTTGATAACAGATTAAGATTTATGCGAAATTACATTGGTCACCCAGGCTTATCATCTAATAGACCGAGGCAACTCTGCACTTGAACGGTTTAAGATGCTGGAGATAAATACTAATAAGTTAAATGCACAAAGTAATAGCGATAACTCAACAAATTTGATAAACAGTGTACAGAGAGAAGAAAGTAAAAGTGAAAGTAAACCCGTATCTAGAAAAACCTTCACAATTCAAAAATGACAATTTTTCGATAAATTGGATAGGAACAAGCAGGTCTTATTATCTTCAAAATCTCAAGTTTCAAGATTTCCTGAAAGTTCCTAGAAATCTAATGAGTTCTTCGACAACTGTGAGAAGAGAGGCTGCATGTGCAGTGAGTATCAATAGAACCAGCTTAGTTGTACGAAAAGATTTTTAGGCTTTAATCTTTCTAGACCAAACTGCAATTTTCGTCTATGCATAGGAAAAGTAAATCGATAGAATTGAGCGACAATATGCATAGATGATCAGATCACCACACAGAACTTCACTACGAAATTCGTGTCGCAGTTGATAAGAAAAATCAGAATACATTTAAAGAAGTTTGAGATGGGACATATAAGTGATAACAGTGCAGAGCCTCAAAGGACGGCCATTGTTTGGTGTACGTTTGAGGATGTGGATGTGTTCACCGTTCGATCATCGTCGCTATCATCAATGTTATTGAAATCTTCAAACCTTTCCGATGAATGTGCCAATTCTAAGGTCGACTGTGCTTTCTAAAACTATCACATATTTTAGGTGCTTTAACACTGGCTCTTCTCCATCAAGTCTCAGTTTTTAGGGAGAAAAATAGTGGGATAGTAATCGAATCATTTTTCAAACAAACATAATTACACATAAAAACAACATTACTCGTGAAGAGCTCACAAATTCAAAGATAGCACTAATCAAATCCTTGTGCGTTAAAATCTCTTCCGAATTAGTAAGTCAATAATGAAATATACCTTGATTATCTTGGAAGACTTTTTGTCAATATTACCAGCATCAATAGTCGGTTCATCATAAACACGATTCGGCGTAACACCACTACCATCAACAGCTTTATTTTCCCGCCTGATGTTATGTGCTGGCAGAGGCGGCGCTTTTCTATGTTGTAAGGATTTCACTTCATCCGGATATGAGAAATCAGAACTCTCTACCCCTTAAATATGAAAATCACAACGGTATAAAATATAAATGGAAGTAACAATGAAAGAAACAGTATTACATTCAGTGATTCTTGCATCAATTAAAGAAAAAAGGAAGTAACCATCGCTATCACTTGTCTCCAATAACGGTCTTCTTTGACTCGCTGAACTTTGTGTTATCACCCGGCGATGTACTGGTCGCATTGTCATGTAATCATCGTCTTGCACGTTTGGTGAAGAGTCTACAATTCTGAGATGGATCACTTCATTCTAGTTTAATTTCAACAATTTGATTTGAATACAAGATGAAACTGATGAATTTTTGACAGTGACCAACCATTTGTAACAATCCTACCAATGCCTGGCTTATGCTTTAAACGTTCACCGCGTAGTTCAGCAGCTACATCACAAGCACCATTTATCTGAAAGTACAAACAATATAGAAATAGCTTTCGGTATGAAAGGTCAGCATTTACATCCCATTCACACAGTTGAAGTTTCAGAAATTGGAATGTTTACCCTTTTCTCACACTGTACACGCCAGTCTTCCTTCGTTGGAATTTCATCGGATGCACGAATATTTCTTGCCCTTTTCGTCCGAGCCTTATATCTTGGACTAGAAGAAAAAAAATGGCACAGGTATTTGATAATTTTATTTTCATATTATCAGCAAAATTTCAAATGATTCCATTCATTTTCCAATATTACTGGACCGACAAAAACTCACAGAAGCAATCTCGTTATGAATATTTTTAAAGAATTTGAATAATTTTGTATTTACCCAGAAGGTTGACGACAACGATCAGTAAAAGATAGTTGCAGTTGAGACGATGAGCAACTTGCCATTCCATCATCATCGCCCAAAATCATCTCACCGTATTTTCTCAGTGCCTCACTGCTAGTAAGCTGAAGATATTGGAACAATTTCATTGCGATATCTTGAAGATAATTCAGTAATTCATTCAACGAGAAGAGATCTAATGAGTAAAGAACAATTAATATACCGGTTGGGTTTCGTCACCACTGCCAATGCAGTGAACAGAATCACAATTTTTTACCGAACCCGATTCTGCAACCCAACGAATTCGGCATCTATTCGAACCTGCTAACGAAGGAGATCGACTACCACCGCCAATCGACGAACTACTTATTCGTTCATGGATTGGAAGAGGACGTACCTACAACTACTTATCTCTGTCTGACATTTTGAAAATTTTATTTTTATGTGATTAGTAAAGACTAATTAATAAGTCTGTTCACTGTCGTGCGACACCGTCAATGTCCACATTAATTTTAATGAAAATTTGTGACAGAGTACTAGATAAGATACAGCTCGGGATGCAAGAGATATGGGGAAAATCCCATAAAAATTGTAAAAAGTGCAAGAGCTAATCACCGATTTCTTCGTTAAAAAATATCTTCTAAAAATTTTCATTTCTCATCTAACCTATTCAGAAGCATATTTTGCAAAAAAAAAAATCTCCGAAACATAGTTTTTACCTGAACTGTTGGCAAGCCTTTCTCGTAGTTGCTGTTGTGCAAACGTGGAAATAATGGTGGTGCTGGTGTTACAGAACGTGGCACACCGTCGTATGACATCGATACTCGCGGATTATAGTTATTCGTTTCGTATTCCATTTCTCTTACTTTTGATGGTTTTCGACTTCTATAATTTTGATGTGAAAGTTTGTTTTAATTAATCAAATCTGACAGTGAATTTACTAACTGCTGGATTTGAAATCTAATGCCGAACATTTTGAAACCATTGCTTGTACAGAAGGTACAAAAGTTCACTGTTATTATCATTATCTGTTAGGGATAACATGAAGTTAAAATGGTCAAACTTTTTAATACGCAAGTAAATGCAGACAATAAGAGCGGCAACGATTATAAGAAGCAATACAACGATAATCAAGCCAATAATCTTGATCGCTTTCAATGGCCGACCATCTGATACCAAATCCGGTGATCGATCTGCAACATTTTTCCATTCCGATCCATTATTTTGTAGGAACCATTATTTAGCTTACTATCTGTTATTTACACAAATTTGGATCATTTCACCATTTTAAACGTCTTATAGTAAATGATTAACAATTACATTACTGACAATGCCTTGATCCAATATGTGATCTTCTTCAAGTAACAGAAGATCAATTCGGTATCGATTCTAGAAAGCAAAGGCTGATATGATACCTCTGCAAGCTGTTCCGGAATATCCATGGGAGCAATTACATATGAAACCAGCAGAATGAGGCAAACGTATACAGCTGCCAAAATGACCACAAGGATTTGATAAACACGGATCCCAATCTCCTGCAAATTAAAATCTCTAATTTGATGAATCCACATTGACTCTACTCTTCATGCAGGATATTCTTCATACTTGCTCTTAAATGAATACATAAGACGTGAGCTAGCTGCTGAATGAATAATACGTGTTTTCCCAACAATAAATCCTGTGCTCAAAATATCATAAAACGAACCATAAAATCTCTCAATCTCAACTACTTACCTCTCAGTTGGCAAGTTTTCCCTGTGAAGCCATGCGGACAGCTACAGTAGAAGTCATTATGCAAATTGATACATTCTACACCACGAGGACAAGGATGTGAAACACATGGTGTTAAGTCGATTTCACAGTTGTTACCAGTATATCGCGGAGGACAAACACAGCTAAAGTTGCAGACATAGTAGAATAAAAAACATTTAACAGCTGCCCTCCAATTCCTAATCAAAGATAATTACAGGAAAGTATGTCGAATATATTAATTATGGGAGATATGTCATGACTGTGATAAGTAAGTGTCATTGTTTTGGAGAATAATTCATTAATGAATGAGAGTAATTCATCATATTAATGTATTTGGCTGACGATATTTTCACAGATATTGATATAGGGAATTTTCATAAATCAACAATAATTATAAATGAAATCATGATTCTTGCTATTTTGTATGCGGAACATTCGAAAATGACCTACTTGTAAGTTTTTTGACCGGAAGGGATACAAGTACCTTCGTTTTCACAAGGGCTTACAGCGCATGGAGCACTAACGATAGCATTACAGTTTAAACGAGTATTGTAGAGATAAAGACTCTGCTTCGTCTTCGGTACTTCATAACCATCAACAGAAATGCGCCTGGAAATATTCTCTGTAAAGCATTCAATTGAAAGCTGTAGAAAGAGCAAACCGCGATATATTTCCAACAAATACTTATTGCCACAATTTGCCATCAGACGATAGAGTCAGGAAGAAGTGAAAATCGTGAGATCAGAATTAAAAGTAACCGGAGGATGGGTATAAACCCCAGAGGAAGTAGTCGATAGTACGAAGGATCCTCTTAAAGGCCGGAAATGATGAATCATTAATAGAAACAATGAATAATGATGAAATCAAGATTCCTTCGTTTATTCAAATAAATCTCCTCCTTCCTAATGAAGAAGTTAAACTTAAGAGTTCATCATTATTCATATTATGGGACCCAAGTTAAATTTAGAAAACTTCTGCTTGAAGTTTCTGCTTGAGAAGTATGCGTACCATCGTGTAAGCTATCCTATTACAGATCGACAGAATCACATTATCTTATTTTGAAGTAACAGGAAAAACAGACCCAAAACAGCCAACCATTCCCTTGGCTATCACTGGCTTTAGATCATTTGCTACTATGAAGGCGCTATCGTTGACCAATTGTGAGACCATAGCACCAAAAGTAAGTCTAAAAGTAAACGCATAAATATATTGCTAGAGAGTTTTGTAGATTTTCAAAAAATCAGATTTCTAAACAGAGAATAAACATAAGAAATGAGGAGCAATTGAAAAAATAGTAATTCATTAATAAAGAGATCATCAGTTTATTAATTATATTAAAACTACCTTACAGCCTGTCGGTAAAGGTTCACGACATCGCTGCCCTGTGGACTGTCGCCTTTCTTTTCGTACACTCCGTCAAGTACAAGTTTCGCGTGCCTGCCTCTCCTAGATATTTTTAAAGAATGCCATTTGCCATCACTGACTATCTGCTGGTTAATGCGAACCACTCCCGGTCCAGTACCACAGTTCCAACGATACTGCACATATCGTCTCTCAATCTAAAACTCGAAAAAGTCTAATGAGGATTAAGATTTACGATTTTCTTTGCATATATTTTTCACGAAAAGGACAGTACACAGTGTCATGTCTAAAGAAAAGATATGAGAGTGAGGTATGAGAGATATTTCTCATCACCTCGATAGTATGAAAATCTGAATTGCCAGCTCCATGCATAATAACTGCATCTGTGCTTGTAGTCTTGAAATTGATCGTCAATTCCAGTCGCCGCTCTACCGAGTTTGCAACAATCATGTGGAAAAAACTGTCACCTCCAACTCCAATTTCCGCATCTGTAACATTCACAGAAAACTTTTTAAGGAATGAAAGAACCCAGTTTAGAGAAGAAGGCTAAATTAAATCTAACTGAATCACAATTTTCGCAAAGTTCGGATCATTTGTATCAATATATTATTTTCTTTAAATTAATGATTCATGACCACTTTGTCTGAACCTATGAGTGTTCGCATATTTATCCCTAATATCAATAAACTACTTAATTTGTGATTGTTTATAAGGTTCCCTTAACTTTATTGCTAATTTATGTCTATTTCAACTAACCCTGGCTGCATTCCCGCTTTTCTTTGCCGCAAATGGTCGCATCACAGCGATCCCCAGTTGTACCTGGTGGACATATGCAATCAAATCCAATGTCTGTATTCATTGGAACGCATATCTGTAATTTTCCACAATACTTTGATTCTTTCATTTATATAATTTTCTAAAATCCTAAAGTTTCGAAAAAAGATTTCTAGGAAACTATAAAGCGCTATTTAGCAATTTCCATTATTCTGGCATTAAGAAAGCGTCTTTAAACAAAGAAATCTCTATAATAAACAAGCACTGATATATTTCGCGCTGTTTCAGCTGTTTATTTTGAGTGAAAAGCCTTTTTAAGGAATAGTTACAACATAAAAATGTAAGGTATGTTCAACAGTATTACCTCAAATTTAAGTAATATTTAAAATTCCACCTGAAATTACTGCTATAGTAAATCTTATTTGGAAACGATAAGACCAGATGAACTAAATCTAAGATAAGCATTAAATAACCTCTTCCTGAATGCACTGATCACGACTGCATTTGTCAACCGGTATATCACAACGCTTTCCAGCATAACCAGTTCGGCATGTACAGTCGTAGGTTCTAAGATGCATGGGAGCGCTGAATGATTGATAATCGGTCTTATAGCAGACATTATGCGCATCATCCAAATATAAACGATCCCGACACTCACCATTAGTACACACGTCTCGTCGACACACTTCCGTTATTACTGATATAATCTGTGCAAGAAAATCATAGTTCGGATGGAAGGAAGACAAAAAACTAATTAACATTTTCCACCTTTCATTACAGACAGTGAATCATCTGCGAATTCCTCCGAATAAATGAGAAGGTTTTACCTTCATTTTTTATCATTTTTGGTTATAATTTCCAAAATTTGCTTCACAATTAGGCACAAAGTGTTACCCATAAAAGGTGGACATTTAAAACAAAAAGAAAAAAAAAACCTCTCTGCCAATACTACCACTTAGTTGGGCAACATTGTTTTCAAGTCTCTGCCGAATGAAATCCGGCCGATGATATCCTCGAGAATCAGCACGCGATACTGTGAATAGGATATCCAAGTCCTGCACTGATGCCGTCCTGTTACTCAGCTGACGGACATGACGATGATGTCGGACTAAATTACTTTTACTTACAACTATCCATCAATTCAAAAGCGGTCTAATTTTCAGCATAGACTGAAAGAAATACCTCGACGAAATGGTATTCAAAGTATTTGAAAAATATTTAGTGTGAAGAGTGAGAACAATAAAGAATGACCAAAATTTAATTGTATTTAGCAACAGGTCTGTCAAACATAAATAAAAAATACTAGCTTGCCTAAAGCAGACTGTACGGAGATAATCTGAACATTTTGTGGCTTGACATTCAGGAATCTGGACAAGGAATGTATGAAATTTCTAGCATACTTGCTGAAAAATGTTTCGCCCAGAAGGTTGTGAATTCGTACGCTTACGGAATGATCCAGTGCATCCTGATCAATTGAGGTTATCTAAAATAGGTTTCACGATTTTTGAAATCATAATCTTACTTTGTCGTTTCTTTTGCCTTCTTCAGTTCCAGTATAAAAGTCTAGACTTATTTTCAATCAACTGACGTGATCAAATTACAAGAATTGTGAAATATATACCGAGGAAATATGAAATACCTAAAACTGAAGAACTGACAAGAACAGCTAAAACACCACTAGCGGAAGAAGCAGAAGTAATTCGAATTCTTTACTGCAGGATTTATTAATTTACGGTGACAACTATAATGACAGGTACTTACATCTATTACAACTGGTACCATAACAATATATTTACCATCGGTTACAGAAACATTGAAGCGGTAAGTCCCCGCAAGAAGATCAGCTTCGCCAATGATGTCACCTGTTTCCGAATCAACACTGAAAGGAATTTTCGAGCGTTGATGATCCAACCAGATGCTATTAGCATTCGACTCATGATCAGCTAATGAGTAACGCAACATATCTGACGAGTCCTATAACGTCAAGCAAATGACATATGCTTGCTTTAGCAACGGTTATGGATGAAAGCAACTGATGAAAGATTACTATACGTCATAATACCAAGGATTATTCATGAAACACCAAATGCTAACTTCATCTGTCGCCATAACTCTACCCACGATCCCACCCAGAAATTCACCCATCAATGTATTCAGAGTAATTTTCAATGGATTGCTCTTCGGCGCATGACGGCTTTCTTCTTTAACAAACAGTGTCATTGGGCATTCCGTGGACAGATTACCTCTATCAGAAACTTTAATCTGCAAAATGGAAAAGAAAAATTAAAAAAAGCGTAATGGAGAAATTCTTTGAAATCCAATAATTACAAATGTTATCATCGATTTTACATTTAAACTATCACTGTCTGATCTCAGAAGATCTAAAATTAAATAAGAAATAGATTTCGTGAAATTTAAAAATATACCGACAAAAGATAAATTTCTTTCTTGGCATGTGGTGGCAACCGTTTCGTAGTGATTAGGTTCAGGGTGCTGTCGAAAGCAAATAATGAAGCACCATCTCCAATAATTTCCAACTTGTATGAACTGGTATTTGGCTCCTTATCGTTATCAATAATGGAAATTGGCAGTATAACATGTCCAGGTTCAACGCTTTCCTAAAAAACAAGTTAGGCGCTAATTACAAGTGTTTCTTCATGAAAGCATAAGGTAGACACTATAAACCAAACTAGATAGACTGGTACAAAGACCGGAACATTATTGGTATCAGATATTAAAGGTACGAAAGAATGAAGGCAAATGTTCCTATGAATGCGTAAATATACAACTCAGTTAACGTATAAAAAAATATATGAAACAATAAAGCATCTGTGAAAATTAATTCTGAACAATTAAATTTGAATTTTTGAGAAGTACTTAGACGAAAAATGATAAGTGGTGATAAAGTGACACTGGCATGTTGCTGTTTCACTGAATAATGAATAAAATACCTGCACAACAGCTGTCATATTGCAATGCTTAAGAAAAGGAGCGTTATCATTCTCGTCCTCAATTTCAATTTCAACAATTGTGGAATCAGATAGAGGTGGAGTACCACCGTCCACTGCTTTCACTGTCAAGCGATAAGTACTCTTCTGCAGAAAGCAAAGTATTAAGCGGGATATGCATTGCACTATGATTACATCGATAATTTTCGAGAGAAAAGTTGTGGTTCCTGGATTGTACTGGATTATCCTCAGATCCGGCATAGACGTATATCTTGTGTTATATGATTTCATGATGCAAAAATGTTGAGAAATGGGAAAAATACTTGTCCAATTCTTGATGAGTAAAATTTTCGCGAAGATAATAAAGTCTTATTAAAGACATCTGACTATAAGATCAAAAACCCAACTCGACTTTAACAAAACATCCCCATTCCTACTAATTCTGCTTTTGTCACAGATAAATACAGTCTTTATAATTGAAAAGCTTTATAATTTTATTTGAAAAAAAATCGGTTTTTATAAAAAGTCCTTATAATCATCTATTTGAAAAAAAAATCACAGCATCTAAACATAAAGTACTATTGATTGAATTTTTAGCGAAATTCGTAAACTACCGCCATCCATTAGTGGCTCTGCTAAACATGAAGGAAGATGTGAACTAATCGGATAATGAAGTAACAAAACCATACCGCTTCACGATCAAGCATTTCCGTGGTTGTAATCCATCCATCTTCGCCGATAGTGAAGGCAGCTACATCGTTTGTTATCAAATAGGACACTCGACCAAAGTGCTCACTGTCTGGATCATTTGCCAACACCTGAACAGGAAAGAAAGAAATTCTAGCTTGTAGCAAAGTGATGAGTCATTCCACTTTTTACTTTTCTTTCCACAAACCTTCCAACATTTTTTGTCACTTAATTCAACATGATGAATCATTCCACTTTTTACTTTTCTTTTCACAAACCTTCCAACATTTTTTGTCACTTAATTCAACATAACAATCCAAACAGAAAACAAATTTCACAATAGGACGACAAAAGTGCTTGAACTAATTAGTTTAATTACTTTACCTGTACAACCTTAGTGCCGCGCTGCATATTCTCCAGCACCGTAGCTCGATAAATAGATTGTATAAAACGTGGTGGGTTATCATTTACATCCAGAATTTCGACATTTATTTCACATGTCGAACTTAATGGAGGTTCTCCGGAATCTGTTGCGATAATAGTTACTGCGAATTTCTCCAATTTTTCAAAATCCAATGTAGAAGCTAGTTTCAATAAACCTGAAAAACTAGCACCGAAGAAACGATTTAGTAGAAGAAATATGATAAGGAATCTGAAGTATCGTTTAAAAGTTAGAGTAAGGAAGGGCAAGAATTAATTACCGCTATGGGCATCAATGCTAAGATATTTAGCCACATCATCAGAGGCTTGCATTTGATAAATGATAACTTCTTTGTCATCACCTCCATACGCTTTCAATTGAAGTAACTCCTTTCCAAATGTTTCATCCTCGGGAATTCGTAAATGATAGATATTCTGTTCAAATATAGGTGCATTGTCGTTCACATCTCCCACATCAATAATCACTTTTGCTGCAATCAAGCAACTGTTAACTTATACGAACATTTACTGCAAGGACAAAAGCTAAGTTAACTCAAATTTTAATTTAAATCGAGTAATTTATTGTCATATCAAAGAATAAGTATGCAAGAAGCAAGCATTGCTTTTGATTTCAATAAAAGTTTATTGAATATTCCTGTAGCTTTCACACTTCTCGCCTTTCTCTGCTTCGACCCTTTTTTTTAGTAAGTATATTTTGATTTCGATAAGTGAGGAATATTTAGACAGGGGTATTGTGATAATCAAATGATTTATCGAATTTCTTCAAATTTTTAATAGTAACCTTCAGCACTATTCCCTGTTGCGGTAATAGCTATAACTGAGAAGTTGTACTGATCCTTAACTTCACGATCAAGAGGAGAAATCGCTGTTATAATTCCAGTTTCGTTATCAATATCGAACAAATCCCAATACTGGTTACTATTGTTCGCATACTTAAATGTGACACGGCCAATGCCCTCAAGATCGCCAACAGCTACTTTCAGTCTAAAAAACAATTCCTTAAATCTAGTAGTATACGAAATTTAAAAACATTTCAACGATAAATTTTTGAAAGTACGTAAAGGTATATAATCTCTTTCTATTGCTTTCACTCCATTTCGCATAAATTTATACCCATCTGATCACAATCCAGATTAGTCATCTTGTGACATTAGCGAAGTTACATCAATTGTTTATACGCATTAAGAGTTGCAAATTAGATTCCCTTGTTTACATCGGCACTTTTGAATTCGTAGTGATGGAAGGGGCCAATAGGACGAAGTAGGAATACGTTGCTACTATGATTAAATTTTTCCTTAAGCAAATATTGATCTATAATTATTTAAAACTTTTGTAGAAATCAAAACCACAAACTGAATAGTGACCTAGTTGCGAACAGCTTTTCCTCTCTTGTTGCGTTGCTATTTTCCTGAATTATACCGTAAAAAACAGGTTGCGTAAACGTAACTCTGCCTTCACTCGTTCTTTCAATCTCAACGATTATGCGCTGAATGCATAAATTATCCGGAGTTTCCGCTCGAAGAAATAGCTCAACCTGCAAATTTGCATGATAAATCGAATGTGGAATCAGTTCCACCATTCACTTCTACGAAAACTGTGTAGTTTTAAAAAACTGTATGATATTAAAAAACAATTCATAATGTTATGAAAAAGGAAAGAAGAGTTAAAGAAACAAACTTGATCTGAAATATGTGAGTTAAGTTGGCTACGAACAGCTATTGTTCCATTGTTTTCAACTCTAAACAGATCAGATTCCGACCCGGTAAGATAGAACCGTAATGATTTTCGCACTTTCTGATATCCCGTTTTAATAATAGTGCCAGATGGCGAATCTTCTGTTACATTTTTAAGAATTTCTTTCGGTTCACATTGAAACTGCGAAAAATTCGATAACAGTTTCACCTGCAATGGTAAATTTGGAACGTTATTTAATACTAAATTTTAATTAAAACAATTACGGCGGTAGTTTTCAAACAATCCTTCATGAAAATTTGAGCGCAAAGAATGGTTAAAATAAGTACCTTGTCTTGTTTTAAAATTCAATCTAAAATTCAATCTGGAAGACTAAATACTTCAGTGCTGCACAACTTGCATGGACTGCATATTAGAAATTGTTAATTAAACGAACAATTGAATGAGGGGAAAATTAATTAAGTTTATTCGATTAATGAAAAAGATGAGTTTCTTTTAAAGACAATATTTATAACTGTATACCATAACTTCAGTTGTTGCTGTGTGCTTTCCGTCATGTGCAAGTATTAGAAGATGTGATTCAAAAGAATGGAAATCTGTTGGGAGTCTATGAAGCACAATACTGTTCACTTCAAGTCCAAACATTCCATATTCATTGCCGCTTATAATGTACAACTTCGTGACATTATTCGGATATAAATCGGGATCCTGTTTTTTTATTAATTATATAACAGAAACTGTTGCTACTACTCAATTTAAAGCGAATTATATTTTAAACCTAACATTGTGTTATAAAATATTTTGAAGTTAATACTGTGTCAAAAATCTACTGCGGTAAGAAGTAGAGCGGTGCATCTATAAATCCATTATTCATCTCATTCCGGTTAATAAAGGACACATTATAGATGTTTAAGACAGCCAAATGATGAACTAGTAAGTAGACAAGAAAATATATTATAGTACGACCAAATCACTTACATGAACTTGTAGTTGCAAAACGTCCTGCCCAACTTTAAAATCTTCCATGTATTGTTGAACAGAATAAATTTCTTGTGAGAATTGCGGAGGTGAATCGTTGACATCTTTGACGACAATAGTTATCTTCTTTCGCGTGCTTTGTCCACCCCCGTCTCGAGCACTAATTATTAGCATATACTCATCCATTACCTCTCTATCAACTTCTTTCAGTAGTGTAAGCCAACCTGTTTCTTCATCCAACTTAAAAGTAGCATTGTTGTTCCCCTAAAATTGGATAAAATATGATGATTACCAAAAATATTGCAAGATTTCCACTTACAAGGAAGAAAGAGTGATCTGATAATTCAAAATTAATGAATTAGTACCTCTTCTAAGATATATTGAAGTTTCGAATTCAAACCCACAGTATCCTCGTCTACAGCTCTAACAACCATAATACTACTGCCAACCGGTAAGTCTTCCGAAATAACGACACGTTCATAGGTACTTTCAAAACGTGGCTTATTATCATTTACGTCCGTTATTCTTACTGTCACCAGAGAAACAGCCTTTGCGCTAACCTGTCTCTCCGAGTGCAAACTCACCAAGAAACGTATTTCTCGTGTCTGAAAAGAACTAAATGAAGATTTAGATTTCCTTATATTTTTGTGTGCAATGCATCTAGATATTATATTTCAAAAGACATTATAAAGATTGTGGTATACGTAGAAAGTTGTGATGTACGTAGAAACTCATCAACCACTTCATTCATGTCTGCTATTCGTAATATTACTGTATATATAGTATGTAGTGTAATAATTTTGCTTCACAAATTTTGGTTTAATGCTCCCTCACACGGCTTAGAGAACGCTAAAGAGAATTCAAGAAATCTTAGTATCAGATAAGAGACTCGTTGTTGCAACAGTATCATATCATTATGAGGGAAACAATCAGAGGGAAACATTAACCGCCTTACTTAAACTTTGAGTATATTCCTCCGAAGTGTAATTCACTATAGTTAGATGTTTACACTCGTCCCAGAAGTTGAAGTAATCATGGAAATCAGCACATATCGATCAAAAGATACCCTCTAACACGAGAAAATACAGGGCATATAATGCAAGGCGCTTTTTTCGATAGCGCGATGGAACTGTCACTCAAAGAATATTAAAGATTTCAAAAGTACAATGTTTTTTAATCCATCCATTAGTTAGACTTTCATTAGAATCCTTCCAATAAGAATTCAGTATCAAACAAACTTTTTCGTAATCCAACATACTACTGACAACAATTTGTCCATTTTCTTGTTTCAAGGTAAACGGAAAATCTGATAAATGATCCACTGTAACCAGTGAAAAAAACACATCCGGAAGTTCTAAAATTTAAATATGTTTAACTGTTGCAATAGAATATTTGCGCTTAAATTGATTGGATGAACATGCGCATTAATAATTTCAGATTCGTAGGAAGGGATTGCTGGTTTTATTTATCATATATGATAGTTCTAACACTGTAAACAGACAAATCAATACTGGACAAGTCTTACTGTCTCAACTTTGAATTTAATTAATTTCAAGTAAGTTACCGAGCTGAGAATCCTGTTGAAGATGACCCACAACTGTTCCAATAGACGCATCTTCTGGCACCGAAAAAAGGAAGTGGTGTGTAGAGAATTTGGGAAGATGGACAATCGGACTGATATTCAATGTTACAGATGTTTCACTTTGATGAGGAGGATTTGCACTGTCCGTCACACGAATAAACAAGGAAAGTTGTTCACCAACTGAAAATGAATTAATGATTTGGCGCAAATTTCAAATGCAAGTCTCATGTTGTGACGGAAACTCTCTTTAGCATACCAATCTTAAATCATGAATTTAATGTAATTGGAAAGGACTAGTTCAAAATAAAGTGTATTAAATAATAAGAGATGTAAATAAAGCAATTAGGTAAAAAAAGTAGCTTAAAAATCGAAATAATCAGTAGTTGATTCTAATTAACCCATCAATAAAACAACAAAACCGAGATCATTTAATGGCTCTTTCACACTGATCAACCCTTGTTTTGGATGAATTGCAAAATATTTGGAGCGAAGTTCACCATTATCAACAATGCTGTATTTCAGCTCATCGCCAACATCACAATCAAAAGCAAATACCTAGAAATGGTTAGGCCTCAATTAAACCGCACAAAGTTTCAGATTGTCG